CTCTCTCGTCTCTCTCTCTCTCTCACTTTCTCTCTCTCTCTCTCTCTCCAGGTGAGGTGATTGATGTGGACAAAGGTATCGTGTGTGAGAACGTTCCCATCATCACGCCCAACGGAGACGTGGTCGTCTCGTGCCTGAACTTAAAGGTGAGCTTTAGTTCCCCCCTAGACTCTCAGAGCTTTAGTTTTCTGGTGAGTTTGCAACATTTAGGATGAGCCCCAGAGGAGCCTCTTTTCAAAATAAAAGATTATTCAGACTCAGAGAATAAATACAACTCAAAGAAGTAATTGTTACTAGGGCCTCGTTAGCATTGGAGCTAACTTTGACTCAAGACTTGATTTGCTGGTTCTGGGACAATTCAAAGAAATCCTTTAAGATTTAAAGAAACAATGGACTAAAAGACTGCTGTGGCCTTTTGGACCAAACCAAACCCTGTTCAGCTGTGGCCCTTTGGGCCAAACCAAATCCTGTTCAGCTGTGGCCCTTTGGACCAAACCAAATCCTGGCCAGGTGTGGCCTTTTGGACCAAACCAAGTCCTGGGCGGCTGTGGCCCTTTGGACCAAACCAAGTCCTGGCCAGCTGTGGCCCTTTGGACCAAACCAAGTCCTGGCCATTGGACCGAACCAAATCCTGGCCATTGGACCAAACCAAATCCTGGCCAGCTGTGGCCCTTTGGACCAAACCAACCCTTTGGACCAAAGCCTTTGGACCAAACCAAACCCTTTGGACCAAACCAAATCCTGGCAAGGTGAAACCAACCGACCGGTCAAACCAAATCCTGTTCAGCTGTGGCCCTTTGGACCAAACCAAGTCCTGTTCAGCTATGGCCCTTTGGACCAAACCATCTCCCCCCTCTGTGCAGGTGGAGGAGGGGATGCACCTGCTGATCACGGGGCCCAACGGCTGTGGGAAGAGCTCCCTGTTCCGGATCCTGAGCGGCCTGTGGCCCGTCTACGGGGGCCGGCTGCACAAGCCCTCCCCCCAGCACATGTTCTACATCCCCCAGAGGTAGGCCACCCCCCCCCCCCCCCCCAGAGGTAGGCCACCCCCCCACCCCTTTATCACCCCCCCGGGGTTCCTGTCTGTTAACCTGATCCTCAGAAACATGAGCTGAACCAGCCGGGGGGGCATCCAAATGAGGATGAGAACGTTATTTCTTTATCATTTCTTTGTTTTTTATAAGTTTTTAGGCAGGAGGAGATCTAAAATAAAACAAAATCCAAACATGTTAAAGTAATTTAAAGTCATTTATACTATTAATAGGAGGAAAACAACTCACTGATATCCGATCAACTTTAAAAACTTTGTAATCACAATAAAAGATGCTTGTAATAATTAAAATAAATCCTTTAAGATTTAAAGAAACAACGGACTAAAAGGACGAACTACAGCTACATTCAAACACCATCTTCTCTCCTTCTATTCAAACTAAGTCTTTGTTTTCTGTAAATAACAAACCAAACGTGTCCCTAAAGCTCCTGGAAATCACCATTCTGCAGGATCTGCTCAAGAAAAGCTCAGAAATATAATGTAAAAGACAGGAGAAACAATTATATTTTCTCTAAAAAATACCCAAAGAAAGCATCTTAATGTTCAGATTATCTTATTATAATTCTAAATGAGTCATTTAGCTTTAAAAGCATCATGACAGGACTCGATTTGATGCTTAAATCTGTAAGCAGAGGGAAGGAATTGGAGCTCTAAAATCCAAACATGTTAAAGTAATTTAAAGTAATTTGAACTCTTAATGGGAGGAACACAACACACTATCAGATCAACTTTGAAAACTTTGTAATCACAAGAAAAGATGCTTGTAATAATTAAAATAAATCCTTTAAGATTTAAAGAAACAACGGACAAAAAGAC